CCAGAAGCAGAGTGCAGAAGGGGAGGACCAGTTATCTCCTGAACAACTTGAAATATTAGGTGGCTACCGGGTCTCCCGGCTGCTTTGGCCGGTCGCAGAGTTAGCAGCGGATATACATACAGCCCAGGGGTGGGGTGAGGTGGAACTGGGGAGACTTGAGGATGTGGGCGGGAGGCGAGGCGTCCGCGGAAGAAGAAGCAAAGGTTCTCGCTTGGGCCCTGCTGGCTGCTGCCAAAGTCTCGGCCATCCGTACCGGGATGCCTGGGGGGTCGGGGAGAGGGGATTGGGAACAGAGAGGAACCCGTAAAAAGCATTTGTCTGACCTGTCCTCCCACCTGCCTTTATTTATTTGCTAAGCCACAGGGCTCCCTTTTTGAATCATTTGCGCAATTAATTATGCTTTTTCATTTGCATGACCTACACTAGAGCAGTGATTATCAGGTCAGCACGATGTGGGAGTTAGGGAGATACATTAATAACTTGAGTTAAAAAAAACCAAAAAGCTGCCCTATGTGCCTTAGTCGCCTGCCAGGAACAAGGGCGGAAGAAGCCGGTACCTACCATAGCGCCTGTTGAGTGTGGTGAATCCTTCCCACAGTTGGAATTTGTAAGTTGTGGGTGCAAATGAAATGCAGCTTTTGATTAGAAGGGAATCTTTTATAGTTAACGCATACCCATTTTTTAAAAGCACCAGCCTTGAGATCAAATGGATGGAGAAAATTAATTGAAAATTGAGGAACTTTCCCACAATTTTCGTTGAGCTTTCATTTAATATTTGTTCGAGAACGATCTCATTCCATCCCAACCCTTGCAAATAAAACAGTAGGAAGGATCAATAGGTCAATAGAACTTTCATCTTTTCTCTATCTCAGAAGCGTTACTGCTGTTTGGAGGTGGCAGGAGATGCAAATCCTTCTTGTCTATAAGATCTACTGGAGAAACTGAAAGCCCCCCGTTTATTAGGTACACTCCAAGCATTCGCAACACAACTACTTTTCTGCTGCTAGATGTATCTGGGCCATATATTTTAAGCCTTCCTTGATCTGTTTATCTGAGCCCAAACTGCATTAACAATTAAAAGAAAGACTCCGGTATGTCAAAGGAAGGAAGGTGACTGTAGACTGTGTGATGATTTTAATGACTGCAATTATTGGAAGATTATTCAACAAGCATCATAGATTTGTTTACTGCATTACTCCGAAACTATGGGGGGCCTGTTCAACTTGGGATTTTACCTTCTTCCTTCCCTCACCAACTACCATAGAGGGGTCAGAGACCTAAGCAAATGTGGCTTTCTTTCTTTTTTTAGAGCGTTTCTACTCAAAAGAAGCACATCTGTTGTCTCAGCCAACTCTAATGGAACCATCTTTGGAGACATTAAAGCAATGTTTTCACATAGCCCCTGAGCTGATAGTAAAGAAAAGCCAAAGGCCAGAGGATTCTAGTTATTAGCTTCTCCCAGCCAGGGTACCAGTTTCCTCAGTTTTACCCTTTCATAGGCAGCCTTTGAGGAGACTTTCAACTCTTCCTCCTGCATTCAGGGCTTGGAGGAGGCACAGCAACTGCAAGATGTTAAACACCAGTTTAGGCATATCTCTAGGACTCCATATTGGAGAATGTTTGCTTTTTTTCTTCCTTCCTTTTAACACTCTCTTCCCCCCATATTATTTCCTATCACAACCCCTGATGTTGCCCTTTTAGAAATAAGTAAATAAATAGAAAAGTTATGAATAAGGGCATACCAGTTTGTGACTAAGAAAGTTTTTATTGTACATATACACACAGGGGATACAAATAAGGAAGATTTCATGTCTTATATAAATGAAACCATCCTCAGTCTACAATAACCAATAAATCACAGCCTGAGCTTTGCTCATTAATGGATTAATGGATTAATGATTTGGAAGTGATATTTGAAAAGAAAAGAAAAAAAGAATAGCATCCCAGTAAGCCTCCTTTCGTCCCTCCCCTGAGGCACTGAGACTGCAGTGACCTGGTTATTTAGGTGCTCTTCCTGGGTCTGTAATCATCCAGTGTCAAGATTAAGGTAGACTTTGCTGGAATTGAGAACCTTCCCTGTTCAAACAGGAGCCTGCAGAACTTTGCAAGTGGCAATTAGTAGCCTATTACAAGACATTAGATTGATTAATGTACTTTAAACAATGCGAATGATTTATATGGCTGATTTACGGTAGGGGGGGGGCTGAGGATGGGGGAAGGATGACTCCACATCCTTTGCGTCCATCAGCACTGTTCTGGAGAAGACCCGGGCCCAGCCTCTGTTCATCACTGCTTAGAACCACCAGAGAGATTTACTTAGAAAACTTTTCAAGCAAAGACAACAGGCTCGCCTGGCTCGTCCGGTGGGTGGCGAGATGCACATTCTTTGGCCCTTTCTCTTCTTTCTAAGGAGGAGCTTAGAAAGACCAAGGCCGGGAGGAGATGCCGGGAGGGTCACAGCGACCCCACTCTCCTAGCGGAGGACACCGCCCGGAGCGATCCCAGCTGCCTTCCTTCCCCGGATCTGTCCCCGGAGAGGGGGGGAGATGAGTTACATATTTGTTTAACGGAGTGTTGGAGAGCTGTGTGGCCTCCTAATTATGGCAGGAACATAGACTCACTAGCCCTTGAAGTTTCAGGCGAGACTCGGGGAGGAGCAGCCGACCCAGCTCTCGCGTGCACGTGACGCGGGGATTGGGGTCGGGGGCGGGGGGGAGGAGAGGGAGGAGACTCCGCGGAACGGAACTCCTCGCTAGGGCTGACTATTTCAGCTAATCTATCTGAGGAAGACAAAATTACAACAGAGCTGAAGCGATCAAAGCTGGCCCCGCCACCCCCTCCTCCTTCCCGGCCCAAAGTCTGTTTGTAGTTGTCTCCTCCGTTGCAGACACTCGGAGCTCTTCTCACGACAAGGAAATTCCTGCCAGTCTTTCCAGAGCCTGCAAGGAGAGGACAGACGCACTTCACACTTCCCAGTGAGGGAGAATTCCCTTTGTCTTATCTCCCCCTCCCCCAGTCTGCCATCAGCTCTGAAATAGGGAACAGGAGGCGGGCCGATAGACCCTGGGAGCCGAGGGGGTCGATCAGAACGGCACCCCACATTCAACTCTGGCCTTGCTGGTCCCTCCGCTTCCTCCTCTGTTTTCTCTTTTCCAACCTTTCTCCTCTTTTCCTTTCTCCCTCCCTCCTTCTAATCCTCTAGGCCCTCTTACCACTCAGGTCTCCCGGGCTCCCGCGCCCAGAGCCTGGGCAGGCGCTGCTTATTTCCTGGCCTTAGTGGTTTGGCGGGAAAGGGCTTCGTCCTAGCTTGTTCATAGGTGTCTGGGACAAATCCTTTTGTTTGTGTCTAAGTGTGGAATGGGAAGCATTCGGGTTGATAATGGGGCACAGAGGGAAGAGGGGGAAAGCCAAGAAACCACATGCATTGGTAGAGTTGCTACCTGTATCTTCTGCAGCCAGTATGCGGTGGGAGTCCACGATTGGAAAATTCTTCTAGGTGGATCACGATTTCACACACCCCCGCTCCCACCACCAGCAGCTGCTCTTATCTATCCTGTATTACCCCATATCTCACTCTCCTGAGTTCTTCTCTGAGTTAGTTCCTTTCAATCCCCTCCTTCCTAGGACTTCTTCTCATGGCCCTACAGCTCAGTGAGAGGCTGGGGAAGTCGGTTATAAAATTTCCACCAAGGATCTAGACACTCCTTTGACTCCCTGGGAACAGGACTTCCTGGGTCCACACTTGCATGCTTTCAGGATTTCAGCCACTCTAGATTCCTGCTCTGCGCGGGTTAGCCTGTCTTGTCACACCCACTCGCACCGCGAGACCGGACTGACATGTCTCCACTCTGACTCGCTTCTTGAAGTATCAGAGCTGGGTATACACATGGGCAGAGGGAAGGCCAGCACTCAAAGACACGTGCACCTCCCTTGCTCCCCCTCCCGCTGTTTTATGCAGAATGCACATTGATGACACAGACACACTTACTCGGGCACGCGCCAGCGACGTCCATCCTCCTTCCCGGCCAGGCAGCAGCAGACGAGACGGTCTTGAGGCAGGTGACATCGCCGCAAGGAGGCGGACTCCGCGCCCCAGATGCCACCCTGGGAGCGGGGATGTTCAGGTCTCCCAAAGCCAGCTGTGGGCCTCCATGGCCTGGAGGCCTGTTGCCCTGCAGCGCCTGGGCCTCCCCTCCGCCTCCTGCGGCGCTCCGGGCACCGCCTCCTGCTCTGAGCCCCTCTCCGCACCTCCGCGGTGGCAGCCCGCGAGGGCGCGTCTCCGAGAAGCCTGCCGCCCTCTCGCCTTCCATAGACTCGGTTACATCTGGGCTGCATTGCCCCTTAATTGTCAATCCCATTATTGTGATCAAGTGAACGTTGCTAATCTCTACATTTATTGTTTAGGTAAATAGAGGCTGCGTTTAATCAATACCCAGGGCCCCAGCCCTCGCAGAGCCAAGTAACTTAAGTCAACGGTGAAGATTTCAGCGTGTGCGTAATTACAGAGCACGCGGAGTATTCACTCCAGCCTAATCCCACATCTCTTCTCCTACCGGGGGGAGCCGGAGGAGGGAACTCGAGGAATCTCCACCCTCCAAGAGATTGAGGGCCGGCTCCATCCGGGGAAGAAAAGGACTTCGTGGTTTTGACACCGCGCGCCTGTTACGGGGGCCTGAGGTGGATTAGGGATGCCCTGACCCACCTGGGTGCGGTTGGATACCGCGCTCGGCGCCGTTTCCCTGCAGCCTTCGGAACCCCTCCCTTCTAAATCTACCTCTGGGAAGAGGATGGTTTCCCAAGGGGCAGGTCCCAGCTGGGCGGGAAGGCTGAGGGCGGGGCCCCGAGAGGCGGGTCGCCGGGTGCTCCCGACACCCGGGCCTGCGCAAGCTGGCTCCCTTTTTCCTCCCCGGCGGTTGAGAGCTGACGGGTTCCTTGCCCCGCGGGAACTTCGGAGAATACCACGCTTGGGCGCCCAGAGAGCGGGCTATTTGCGCTTCTTCTTAGATAGCTATTGTTTCCTGAAAGAGTACCTTAGCCCTAAGAAACCGAGACGCACTGGTATTCGCAGCAGGGGGTGGGCAGGCCAGGAGAGGTGGGCGGTCTGCTCTGGCGAGCGGTGGTGTCGGCTCCTTACAGCCGCTTGGCAGCTGCTGTGGCCTCAGAGTGAAGGTCTCTGGGCCTTGGCAGGGAATTGGTTACTTGGGACTCTTCCCGATGGTTTTTAAAAGACCTCGATCCCTCCCCGCAAGCCTGCAGTGGGGCCCAGGAGGCTGACCCTGTTTGAGGCACTAACACGTTTCTCCTTGAGCACTTGGTCGCTTGGAGTTTGTATCTCCTGGTGCCTCTTTCTCAGCTCCATTCCCGAGAATGTTCAATATAAACAACCTATAAATCCAGTTGTAATCAGATACCCGCCTTGCATGGAATTGTCCCGCTTTAAATGAGCTGGATTCTAAAGTCAACTCTTCATTTGCAAGTTTATGGTGTCGTGCAACCAACAGCTAAATTACAGCTGCAGCTTGATAATTAGGGCCTACGGTATTGAATGGCAGCTGGCTGTTTTTAATTTTTGGAATTGAACAGTTCTCGTATAAGGTATCTCTCCCTGCTTTCTCCTTCCCTTAAAAGTTGAATAATATTTCGAAAAAGAGGAAAATTAAACACAAATGTCAGTGCAATCCTGAAAACCTTTTTCCTACTATTACTCCTTCTTGAACCCCTCCTCTGCCAACCCCAAGCTACCACCCAATCCCAGGACTCTCCTTATCAAGGAGGCTGATCTTTCCCACCCTGCTGCAAGTCATCCTGCCAGTCAGTCCACAAGACAGATAAATAAGGTCTCAAACTCTTGACTGGGGATGTCAACTTAACTTTTTCTGGGTTGTGGTTGTTTTTAAGCTAGGATAAGGAAAAGAAAGGCAAGGGGACTGGTGGTCAGAGCGCCTGGGTGGGCACAAACCCTTTGGGGTTCTCCGGAGTTGGGTGTGAGTTAAGGTTCACCACTTAATGTTGTGATCTTGGGTGGGCCGGGAAATTTCTAAGTTTCCTCCTCTCTAACATGAAGCTAATAATTTAAACTTTGAAGGATTGCTATAAAAGTTAAATAAAACTATATAGAGGAATTCCTAGCAATGTGCTCAAAACTTAATAGTTGAGCTAAAAAAAAAAGTTCTTGCCTTTCGTTTTCCACTGAAAGTATTCCCACCTGAAACTTGCATGGGACTAAGGACAAAATCAGCAGCTACTATAAAACAGAGTTTTAGTGTGTGTGTGTGTGTGTGTGTGTGTGTGTGTGTGTGTGTGTGTGTGTGTGTAAAACACAAGGCCTCCTACAAAATCAGGTTGGATAAAAATGAATGTAGTGATAGCTAACAGCTGCTTGTTTTGGATGGGGTAAAGTTAGCTGCTGCAGCCAGAAACACGTTTCATGGTCTGGCTTTCACTGGTCTGCCTGTGGGAAAGAGGAGGCGTTTTCTCTAATAGTAATAGCTAAAATTTATTGAGCATGTATTATAATGCAGGCACTCTGCCAAGTGCTTTTCATACAGCATCTCATTTAATCCACCCAATAATCTTATCAGGTGAGTATTATTGCTGTTTCTCTTTTTAAACTTTTATTATGGAAAATCTCAAGTATTTATTTAAAAGTAGAGACTACTAAAATGAACCTCTCTATGTCCATCATTCAGCATCAACAATTGTCAGCTCATAGCCAAACTTGTTTAATCTCTGTGCTATTCATTTCCTCCTCCTTCATTTTGAAGCAAATCTCAGACATTATATCATTTTATTTGTAAATATGCCAGTATCAAAAGACAATAATTCTTTTAAAAAGACCCCACAAGACCATGTTATACTCATACTGAAACACATTTGAAATAATCCCTTAATATTACCAAACATCTAATCAGTGTTCAAGTCTCCCCAGTTGTCTCATAAATGATTTTTTACAATTACTATTTTTTTCCAAATCAGAACTATGTAATATCCATACATTTATTCTCTCAAGTCTCTTTTAATCCATAGGCCCCTCTCCCTCTTTTTCTTTCCTTGCAATTTATTTATTGAAGTAACTAAGTCTTTTGTTCTGATATTCTTTTTATAAGTGAAGAAGTAGGCTCAGAAAGGTTAAAGGAATTTAGTAAGAGATAGAAAAGGAATTCAGTCCTGGAGTCCAAGAATTCAAGTGCTTAATGGCTTTATTATATTTCCTTTAAATCAAGTGATGAAAAGCAAGACACAGGAAAAGCACAGTCACCCATAAAAGATTTCAGAATATGCATGACTCCCCTAAGTAACCAGCTCCTTTACCAAGTGCCCATAGAAAACCATTGACTTAAAACCCAGGAAGGGTTTGAAATGTGGGACGAGAAATTGAAAACAGGATAACCCAGTATCCTCCTTATGTTTTGAATCTGACTAAATACTTCTGCATGCAAGTGTACCTACAATATGGTGAAGGGATTTTTATTTCAAACAAATATTTAACAAAGCAAAAACATTTCTTAAGTGAATCTATCAGGTTGCTTTTTTTCTCTTCTCCTCCTTTACTTTCCTCCTATTTTCTCCTTTTCTCTGTTCTCAATAGCTAGCTAGATAAGAAAACATCTACATAGTTCTTTTAAAATACCAGTCAAATTAACAATTTGGTAGTTTGATATGTGATATCTGGCTTTTGTTATGGTAGTTTTGAAACCACAGTTACCCTAGCAACTGAATACATTTTTTTCTTTAAAATTTTTTTTAGCTCTCTGGAAGAGAAGAAAAAAAAAGAAAAGAAAACTTCTTGCCAGAATTTCCCCATAATAGCTTCCATTAACTGCAGTGACTTCTATTGGAGAGGCCAGCACAGCTCTCTCCTGCTGTCACCAGTCATTCACTGATCTAGCAGATGTTTTGTTGGATAAGGCCAATTTGAGCTTTATAAAACATTTATTTTTTCCCATCCAAGGAGCAAATACCAGTAAGGATGGGATTCAATGTCTATCACTGGATACCATGCAAGGGCCTTAACCTACCAGTGGAGCTTCTAGGTGAGAAGAAACACTAAAACAAACCTAAAGACTTTATTTATTATAAAAACAAACAAAAAAAGAAGTGAGGGATGGCTACAAGTCATTAGATCAATTCCTAGAGACTTAGCAAGAACAAAAAAAAGTGAGTAGAAGAGCCAATAGTCTACTATGGAATTTTTTCTGGAAACACCTGGTAGGTGTACAGTTGCCAAAGTATGCAATTGCCAATGATGCCAGTTAATACGTAAGATAAGGGAATAAGAGAGGGGGTGATACACATTGCATTGGGTTGGGTTTTATAGATTTGATAAACCACGTGTTAGCATTTCAAGGGGGTGAAGTAGACAAGAATCAGCAAGGGAAAAAGGTACACATTAGGGTTTTTTTTTGAGAAACTAGACCCTGAGCATTTGTGAGAATATTCACTTGGTTCTGGATAAAATTTTCCTCACAATCATGCTCCTAATGCACATAGTTCTAAACAAAACAAAACAAGACAAAACAAAAAAACCCACCTGATTTTATAAAATTACAAATGCTCAAACACTTTCTCTTGAATAAAAAGGTTGGTTTTAAGACCTGGAGCTATGGTGTGGATGAATCAAAAGGTAGCAAAAGAAGTGCTGGGTGATTTTGCTAGTGTTGGTAAGATGCCTACATTTATGCATCACCTGGGGGATTGTTTATTTTGTCATTCTGCAGAAAACTTTAAAAAAAAAAGATTTCTGGTAGAGGAAGACCTCTTTTGCAATATAATGGCTCAACAAAATGAAGGTTCCAGTCTTCAATTTTATTTTGGATTGCCCTATGTAGGTAAAATATTTTCTCTTGAGGAATTTTACATTTTGAGCCACGGTGAGAACTACAAGAAAAAAAAAAGAGAATGTCAATTCTATTTGCAGAAAATGTAATTACTGTGTAGTAAACTAACCTTAAGCAAGAAAAAACCCCTCATTTTTACAAATATGTGCACATTCCTCTGTAAGTCAAAATAGAAAAAAAGAGTGGGGGCAGGACTAGCAATATCATTTAGAACTTTTTCTTAACTACTTGAACCTTTAAAGGAATCTACTGCTTTTTCTTTTCTAGCTGTTTTTGAGATATAATTGACATATAACTTTGTGTAAGTGTAAGACATACATATTGATTCAATATATGTATATACTATGAAATGATTACCACAATACGTTTAGTTAACACATCCATCACTTCACACAATTACCATTTTTGTTATGGTGCTGCTGCTGGTGGTGGTGGTGAGAACATTTAGGATCTACTTTTTTAGCAACTTTCAAGTATATAATGTGGTGTGTAAAGTCACCATTCTGTATGTACCTCATTAGATCCCCAGAACTTATTCATCTTATGACTGGAAGTTTGTACCTTTTGACCAACATCTCCTCATTTCTCCCCTGCCCAGTGAGTGAGGAATAGATAGAGTGTGGTGGGAATGGATGACTTGTCTCTGATCCACTATCTCTGAATGAAGCTTCAGCTA